ACATTGCTCTAATTGTTTACGAGCAAAAGGGCTGTTACCCTTTAAAACTTCTTGATGTGCTTCTACTAAACTTTCCAACCAAAACTTATAATCATCATTCAAACGGCTTTTAATAAACTTTAGCTGGTATTCAAAGTTTTCTTCTCCTATTTTCTTAAGTTCCGATTTTAAATTGCTAGGATTAGTAGCTTTAGTAGATTGGAGCAAACTGGTTAATTTTTCTACTTGTTTTTTTAATATTTCTACTTGACTGTTTAATACATTATCGCCTTGATTGTTCAATGCACCTTGATTGTTTAATACTTTGTCACCTTGAGTATTTAATACACTATCACAAAAACTAAGTTGCTTATTACCAGTGAAATTAGCGTGTTTCAAGTTTGGTTTACTACCTAAACTTATAAAACCAAGAGTTGTATTATAAATCGTAATGTCAGTTAACTGAATACATTTATCCACCTTTAACTTAGTTAACTTTTGTAGTTGGTCGTTTTGCTCAATCCCTTCAATATATAGTATTTTCAAATTAACAAACTCATTAAGATCTAGCTCTCCTTCCAGAATAACATTACAAAAACAATAATCCGGAACGGGGTAACAATTATTATGATCCTTATTATTGCAGTGTTGACAGTTATTATAATTATTGTAGCCATATTTATTATACGGTGTCGTTACGGGAGGTGCCCCAAAAGGTCCGCCTTGAGGAGTGTATGCAAATGGATTAAACTGTGCCGTCCCAAAAGGTCCATGTGGAGATGAAGACTGACCGAATGAAAATGGATTAAACGGAGCCGCTCCAAAAGGTCCAAATGAAGGTCCAAATGACGGTCCAAATGAAGGTGGATTTGTTGCAGGCTGACTGGATTGTGACGTTCTTTCAAACTTGCATTGACATTTGCTGTAGATGTAAAGAGTTTTTGCTCGTCCCCTTTCATTCGTCGGAATTTTTTTATTTAGCCACTCGTTTGCATTTACCATTTTTACAAAACTTTTTTTTAAAAAAAAATTTAACGTTAATGAATCTTTTTAAAAAGTATTCATTTATATATTACAAATAAACAATACAGCACACTTATTACTGCAGGTGATACAATTTCAAAAAAGGGAATTTTCTAAGATCAGGTGTAACATTTGTGTAATGGTAATGTGAGATCGGAGGCTTTTTCAAAAAATCGCTGTTAATCAAATTTTGCCTAGAAAATCACTTTTTATGATCCAATA